GATCGACTCAGGACGGGTGGACTCAAGACAAGACGGATCGACTCAGGACGGGTGGACTCAAGACAAGACGGATCGACTCAGGACGGGGGGACTCAAGACAAGACGGATCGACTCAGGACGGGTGGACTCAAGACAAGACGGATCGACTCAGGACAGGTGGATTCAAGACAAGACGGATCGACTCAGGACAGGTGGACTGAAGACAAGAGGGATCGACTCAGGACAGGTGGATTCAAGACAAGACGGATCGACTCAGGACGGGTGGACTCAAGACAAGACGGATCGACTCAGGACGGGTGGACTCAAGACAAGCCGGATCGACTCAGGACAGGTGGATTCAAGATAAGACGGATCGATTTGAGGTGAATCGATTTGAGATAAGATGAATCAATTCAAGCCGAATGAGTTCAAGACAAGACAAGTTGATTTGCGTCGAGTAGTTTCAAGAGAAGATGAGTTGATTCGGAATGGATTCAAGGCAAGCCAAGTCGATTCATGATGAATTGATACAAGATAAAGACGAATTGATTCAAGACAAGACTACTCAATTTGAGCCAAGTAAATGCAAGACAAGACAAATTGCTTCAAGCTGAATGGATTCAAAACAAGATGAATCTGTTCAATCAAGACAAATCAATCTGAACCAAATGGATTCAAGACCAGATGAATCAATTCATGAGGAATGGATTCAAGATAAGACAAATTAATTCAAGACGACTCAATTCAGGACCTCAGCCAATGTGTCTTTTACTGCAATATATATTTTTTTGACTTGGGTGCACCACTGAGGGCGTTTTTGCTGTGACCACATTTTTCCCTGGTGCTCGCAGTTCAAACTTAGAAACACCATTCGAACTGCCCAGCGATCTCATCTCAACTTGCGTTCGAACTCTGGACCGTTCGAAGTCCGAGTCCTGCGGTGCGGCCAGTTCCTGCCCTGCTCCAGTGGACGGTCCCGCTGTGACAGAAGGTGACTGCCAGGTGAGCCACTTTGCAGGACAGGTGCGGAAACTCAGGCCAAAGGGCCAACCCCGCGACGGCCCCTTCCCTTCCCTTCCCTTCCCTTCCCTTCCCTTCCCTTCCCTTGGGGTCTTGCGGTTCCCGTGCCATTTTCACCCGTCCCGAAAGGAGGAAATGCTCTCCAAATGAGCTTTCGATCACAATGTCCTGGCCTTGGGCTTGGCCCCACCCCTTTGCTTGTGGCCCCTCCCATCGCAGGCCCGGCCCCCAGGGTGCCTCCAAACCTGCATTCAGCCCACAAGAGGCTCGGCAGCCCCGCTGTGGCATCGCCCCCTAGGCAGTGCTTCCCTGCCCCCCCCACATCTCTGCCCAAGGCCCCAGGGCAGGCTTTCCCAGCTCTGGGCCTTGGTGTCAGCTGCCCCACAGCCACAGGCATGCTGGGCTAGGCTGCCCGAGAGGGCAGGGGTCTCCCAGGACTACGGAGTAAGACAGAACAATATTTTGGAATAAGTGGAAAATCTATTTCCCTTGAAAGCAGTTCTTGTGAATTGTGGGGTTAAAGAAATGGGATAACTCGACCTCGTGCTCTCGAGGTGTTTGTGGACTACAACCCCCATCATCTCCCACCAGCATGGACAGCAGCATGTTAGGACAGTTGGGCATAAACCTTTGGATTGAAAGTTACTGATGCAGACCTGGCCGAACTGCAAGATTTACATGTGCGAGAAGACCTACTCATGGAAGTGCAGCGGCACGGATCGTGTTTGTCCAGGTAGTGCTCCAGGGTGTCCCATCCACCACCCACGCGGACCATCACGTGATTCCGCAGGATCTGGAACAAGCAAGAGTCAGAGGTGAGTGAAAGGCACCCACTGAACTATTCCACAAAGCACTTCGTGCCCCGGTTTGCTTTTCTCCTCTTCCCTCCAAATCCCCTTTCCTTTTATGTCATGACTTTTATCTTGGAAGCCGGCAGGCATGACTTGCCTTGTTTACTGGCAACCTTTTTTGCGAGAGCAAGCCTTTATTTATTATTTATTTATTATTTATTAAATAAATACTTTATTTATTATTTATTAAAAGAGCAATCCTTTATTTATTATTAATTTATAATTGATTTGGGTATTTTTACCCTATCCAATATGTTGCAGGTCTCTGGACGGTTTACAAGTCAAAATCCAATAAATACATATAATCCCAAATAATACAAAATAATCCACTGATGAGCATAAAACATAGTTAAAATATTAAACATTAAAATTACAGAAAAATAAAAAGGTCTTGACCTGGCGCTGAAAAGCATATAATGTCGGTGCCAGGCGGAACTCTCTAGGGAGCGCATTTCATAGGCGGGAGCCACCACAGAGAAGGCCCTGCTCCGGGTATGTTCTCTCCTAACCTCCTTCAAGGAAGTTCCCGGAGTTCTGCTGCAGACCTTAAGGGGCGGGTGGCCATGTAGGGAAAGACGTTCCTTTAGGTATCCAGGTCCCAAGCCGTTTTTTGTTCTGGTTGAAGTTGGGTAAAAATGCACCAATTAAATTATCCCCACACGTGACTGTGAGAGTGAAAAAGCCAGAGCAACTTTCTCTTTTGAACACAAAGAGAAATAACTTCTGGAAGGGGCAAGAATGTGGCAAGAGTATTAGCACGGATAATCCAAATTCAAGGAGGGTGGAGTGATTTATCATCCATCATTACTCATGAATGCTCAGGTAAGCGCCATGTGTAGGAGCAGTCTAGCTTTGTCTGTGAGTGACTGGCCTCTGGGGGGGGGGAACAAGACGGTGGCCCTTTGATTTACCCATATTTATTTATTTAAAACCTGATGAATTAGTTTTGCATTAGCTGTGAGGTGCCATCAAGGTGCCTCCAACGTACAGGGAACCCGTGAAAGGAGCCCTCCAAAAGGAGCGTCCACCAGTGTCAGCTCAGCTCTTGCAGACCCGAGCCTGCGTCTTCCCTAACGGAGTCGATCTATCTCGTATTTGGCCCTCCTTTTCTTCTGGCTTTTGCATAGTCACATTAAAAACCTGCAGAAGGACCCTGTACAAGTCTTCTTCTCGGGGAAAAGGAAGGGACTCCCAGGTGAGGGCAGAGGGCTGCAGCCGCAGAAGGTCCTGGCCCCGTCCTTCCCACGCCAAACCCTACCCCATTCCGCAGGGCCTCCGGAGGCCCATTTTCGGGGCTTCCGGAGAGGCCGGGACGCCCGCCACCGGCCCTGCCAGCGCAGCGGATCCAGCCCCGGGCCGGCGGCCTTGTCGTGTCATCCGGGCACGTCTAGCCAGAAGCGCACCGCACTGCAGTCAGTGGCGCTCGTTCCCAGGTGGGCTTTTCCCAAAACAAGAAGAGCACGGGGTCACTCACCCGGACAAAGATGTGTGTGCTGGAGTCCCCCACACGGTATTTTCCTTCCGACACTTTGATCATGGAAAACTGGACTGGGCAGGTGCAACGGCTGATGAGGTGTTGGACCTTAATGGGATTGCAAGGATCATAATCAGAACGACGTCAGCCACATGGCAGAGTGGGGAGAGGGTCAGAATAGGACTGGGGAGAGCAGGGCTCCAGTCCCCCCTCCGCCATGAAACTCGCCAGCTGGCCTTGAGCCAGTCGTTCACCCTCAGCCTAACCTAATTGCAGGTGAGGACAAAATGGGAATAAAGAGGAGGGTGGAAACCCAAGGCAGGAGAAAAGGTGGGGCATGAATAGGATGATGACATTAACCATTCGGATGTAACTCTGTTAAAGACCTTATTTTATTTATTTTATTTTATTTTAAACACTATTTTAATTGTTAAGGTTTATTTGTTGATTTTAAACCAGGCTGTTACCACTATTTTATTTTATGTATTTTATTTATTCTATGAATTTTTTTTTGTATTTATACACGGGATTTTAATGATTGGAAGCCGCCCCGAGGCTTATGCGATGGGGGCGGCATATAAGCTGTCTAAATAAAGAAAGAAAGAAATCTTGAAGATGAGAGCGATGAAAGATACTGGGCTTTGCCCCAAACAAAAAAGATCTGGGTCTCAGGCCCCTAGGGGAAAATGTGCATATTTGTGATGCTAATTTCCGTAGGTTCAGAAGTCTCTCTGTGAGTCTTTAAGGGGCCAAGGCTCCAAAGGATGCCCCCTTTTTAGAAGGGATGCTCTGATTTCAGGAAAAAGGCTCAGCAGAAAGACGCAGGGGGGCAGCAGGAGGTGGAGCTGCCGGGGGCAAAAAGCTGCCTTGTCCAGGGCCCCAGGTTGTTCTTTCAGCAGGTGCTCCAGTTAGCTCCCAGAAATCCCGGGCCCCAAATGATGTGGGTCTGCTGCCCCAGGGTTAGGGCCGCCCTTTCCTTGCGGTGTGCTCGGGCTGTGCGGGAGTTGGGGGGGACACTCGCTCACCCCTCCCAGGTGGATGCAAAGCGGATGCAGAGTTTTCCGAAACGTCCCTATGCCAATTTGGATCTATTGTTCAAGTTTGGAAAGGATGGAAATTGGGAAAAGCAACACAGTATCTGCCACTCTGATGTGCCGGGCGGCAACCTGGCAAGTCCAGATGCTCACAGGTATTGCTGGGCAACCTATTTAATATAGCCACAGGCAGTGCAATGCAGTGGTTAGAGCTGCAACGGACTGCAACGGTGGAGACACCATGGGCGCCCGTGCCTCCCTTTTCAGTCTAACCTTCCATAGGACTGAGCCTTTCAGAAAGGAAAACCCAGAGGCCAGACATTTCCTAGGAAACCTGAATTTCTTTTACATTAAACCGTTTTTAATATTGGGATTTCTTTTATTGACCTGCTCCACAACAAAAGATTTTTTCTTCCAAATGTCATCTTTGACTCACTTAATGTTTACTGGGAGCTGATCGGAAACAAATTACTGTTAAACAGCCGCATACAAATGCACTAAATTATTCTTTCTTTTGCTTACTGAATGTATACCCTGCCTTATCCGGGCTTTTTTTTCTCTGTAAGCTTACGAAAAACCTGGCCCTCTTTCTCCTTCGGCTGCATTTCGACTGGACAGCCATCCAGGCCGAAAACATTTTCACTGAGAAAAGGGTCCTCTGCGCAGCGGGGCGCAGGGTCGGTTTGCGGGCTGGTGGGGAGCGAGCCTCTTGCAGGCACCCCTCCCGGCCAAAGGGCCTCAGCCTCAAGGACCCCCCGGACGAGCCAGCGAGGCCTCAAAGTTGCAAGGGCAGATGCTTGGCCTTGCTGTCCTTCCTCCGCAGCAGGAGGCGTGGAATGGCTCTTGTGCTTACAGGAGGGCCGTGGCAGTGAGGAGTAGTGGCTAGAGCACCGGGCTGGGACACGGGAGGCCCTGGATAACACTCCCCTCGGCCACGGAGCTCCTCGGCACGCTCCGCTCTCGGCCTGGCCTGCCTCGCAGGGTTGCCGGGAGGAATAAAAGGGAGAGGAGGCGCCCGCGCCTGTGCCCCGAGCCGTCGACGCGCGGGTGCGCACACACGTGCCTCCTCCTCCGCGCAAGTCCCCTCGGGGCGGAGGCTCCGCGCTCCGGCCCCTCTCGGGCTCGGCTCCCGGCTGGCCGAGGCGGGCGCAGCGGGAGGGCGCCGCCCGGGCCACCGCGCCTCCGGCGGCCTGAGGATGCCGCGCAGCGGGTCTTCCCCGCCGCAGGGAAGGGAAGGCGAGGCGAGGCGAGGCGAGGCGAGGCGTACTATCTGGTCGAGGTTCCCGAGGCCGGCGGGCTCGCCCCGGGGCTGGCGGAGGGGGCTCTCCTCGGGAGGCAGGCGCAGGTCTTCGCGGATCTCCGCCTCGATCTCCTGCTCCATCCGGACGAGGCAGGGCGCGCGCACGCCGAAGCGGGAGGCGCGCCGCGCCAGCTCCAGCAGGCACAGCACGACGTTCCTCTGGTTCTTGCGCAGCACCAGGTCCTCCGTCTCGAACATCACGGCCTCTGCGGGACACGGAGCGCGTTGACCTGCGGAACTCGCTGCCGCGGGACGAGGCGGCCGCCGCCGGGCTGGGCTTGCGGGGGGAGAGGGACGGGCCCCCGAGGGAGGCGGTGCCCCGCGGCTGGCCGCCCCCTCGCCCTCCGCCCACCCGCCCTGCTGGAGGGGTCCTGCGGGCAGCACGGAAAGCTGGACTGGGGGACCTGGGCCTGATCCGGCTGCGCTGTCCGGATGGCCTGGTGCTCTGGCCGCAGAGCATGGGGCTGGGGCTGGGCAGGAGGGGCGTGAGACCAAGCGGCCGAGCAAGGCAGGCAGCACGGCCCATATCGGGTGGGTCTGCTTGGCGAGCCTCCCCCCCCCCGCAGGGGCCCGGTGCCCCCCCACCACCTTGGGAGGCCATTCTGCAAGGCGGCAGCAGGCCCCTTCTTGGGCATCTCCTGCCCCTCCAGGGCGACCCCGGACCAGAGGCCCCAGGGCATCCCTTCCTCTTCATCGCTGCAGTCGGCCTGCTGCAGGCTGGAGCAAGAGGCCCGTCCCTGGAGGAGGTGGGACGGGCAGGCCCCCTTGCCTGCCAGATTTCTGCCTGCCAGGCCAGCAAGGAAGCAGCCCCCAACGATGAAGAAGTGGGCGAGGAACAAAGCAGTGGGTGACCCCCCCCCAGCAAGAAGCCCCCTGAATGATGGAGCCTAGTGAGGAGGGCTTGCCCACACACCCTCCCCCACCTCAGGCTGGTGCTGCATGGCCTCCAAGTTATGGAGTTACAGCCAGGTTATTTTGGTAATGCTTGCGCAGCTCGCAAACTTGTTTATCCCTCCCTGCCACCAGGAGGGCAACAAACCCCCCATGAAAACTCCAGCCATTTTTTGCCCTTTCCATGGCATGCAAAATTGCTTTGCCTAAATTGCTCTCGTGAGCAGGGAGAAGCACGGCAGGTGAGCTGCCCAGTGTGAGCCTCCACTTTGCTGGCTGCTGCCCTCGCATGAGAAGATACACAGCCAGGCAGTGCAGCCAGACACGCGCTCCCTTTTCAATCTAGACACCAAGCCTGGGTTTGCCATGCTTCAACATATAGGCAGAACCCAGCAGAAGCGTTTAGTCCCAGTTTCACCAACCAGTTGTGCTGAGGCACAGCTTTCATTATCCCTCTCCACTGTCCATGCAGGCTGGGGCTGATAGGAGCTGAAGTCCAATAGCATCTCAAGGGTGCCAGATTGTGGAAGGGTCTCCAAGCCCCTGGTCACCCAGGGAAGGGGAACAAAATCTGGATGGGAGACTCAGTGGCGCCCCTGCAGCCACCCAGGCCTCGGGGGCCTCGCGACACGCGCGGCTAAGATTGTGTACATGCACCTATTTATACTGTATTTCTTTTCTTGTTCTGGTGACTGTCTGAAATTTTGTCCTGCAAAATATCTACTGGGTTCCCCCAGTAAAATTGCTCTATCTGACATGAGAAAAGATCTGGTAAGGCAAAGAGTCCATCTTCCAATTAATAATTTTCAGTCATGATGCTATGCAAATATAGGCAGAAGTCCTACAATCCTAGGCATGCTTAGACAGAAAAAATCCCATCATCCCGAGAAAGTTTAGACAGAAAAAAGTCCTATAATCTTGTGCAGGTTTAGGCAGAAAAAAGATCGGACAAACTTAGACAGTATTTCTTTAAATGAAAGCTGCAGTCCAGTGACATCTGGAAACAACATCTGGAAGGCAACAGGCTTGTCACCCATACCCTGGCCCATATAGTTTTTGTATATATACCAAAGACGTTATCTTTACCTAATTACATAGGTATAGAGAGTCCGTTTGGGGTGCCAGACTGGGGCTCAGGTAATCCAGGTCCTAAAGCCCACTTTGCCTGGAGGTCCCTGGACCGCAGTTGGCCAATCCCTGACCCTCGGCCTAGCCTACCTCACCGGGTTATTGAGAGGATAAAACAGGGAGGAAGGGGCCACCATCTTGGATTTTTGCAAAAGGGAGGCTGTATATGGAGTCATAGAAGAAACTTCATCTTTTCCTGCTTAGCTGTGTCTCCCATTTGCCCTTCCTTCTGCTGTTTGTCTTTTTCAGATGTAAGCTCCTTGGGGCAGGGAGCTGTTTTTGCACAGGTGGGGTCACAATTCTACACGCGATTCAAATCTGTGTACCTTTGATATTCATCTCCTTCCGGCACCACTGAATAAAGTTGGACACGTTATCCCGGGCTTGGAACGTCCCGGGCTCTGCGAAGTCATTGCAGGTCACCTCGCAGGTGGGCAGCGGCATCTTCCTGGCCAGACCCGGGAACGCCTGGCCGAAGTCCCTGGCCACACGGGAGATGCTGTTGGCGTGGTGGCACAGCACCGTGCCCGTCTCCAGCACCTCCAGAAAGGAGGCCACGTTGATCTCTAGGCCATAGAGGTCCTTCAGCCACTCGGCAAGGTCTTCCTTCATAGCATAGAGGTACTGCTCGCTTGATCTGTACGGACGGATGCTTTTTGTGGCTGCTTCTTGGATTGCTGACATCTTCCCAGAAAGGAACCCACACTCTTCAAAAGCGGCCAGAGTTGCATTTAAAATCCCACGGAATCTGCCCAGTACTTCTGCCAAGGAGCCAAATGCCAGTGTTCGTAAAGCGTCTTAGCCCTTGCCTCCTGCCACCCTGGTCTCCAGCAGCTCTCTCGGGATCACAGAAGGCATGGATGCGTTTGCTCCCCGAAGCCAGAGGTCGCTCTGGTTCTACTGGCAGCTTTCTGGAGGATCTGGCATGGACCAGCCAGGATTTTCTGACTCCGGTTGTGCCATGATAGCCGCAAAACAATTCCTTCCTGCCCTAATTCTCCACTGCACAGAAGAAAGTGTCAGGTAACCTGGAGCGAGGGTTTTTAGAGGACGACTGTTGACCTCCATTCAGGTTCTGTCACTCCAGAGCAATCCCCGGGTTCAGCATCGTCCACCGCACTCCGGTTGGCGGCTCTTGGGGCAGTAGTAAAACCAAAACCAAGAAATGCCCCGCTGACTCCCTGAGCCCACCCGGTCCTTACAGCGTGGTCAGATCATCTAGCACAGAGAGTCATTGGGAGCCTGCGGCTTTGAGACCTCCAGAGACGCTGTCCACCGCGTGGCCTGGCTGTCCTCATCCGTCACGCTGGCTGTCAGCTACTTGACGGAACCTGCCCTGCGGGACGCCTGCATCTCCCACGTCCGCCTCGCGACACAGTTCTGCTTCCCCCGGAACCACGGGCTGCAGACACCTGCCAAGGCACAAAATGATAATTGTCCGGACCGGGGGAGAGGGATTCTCCACCTCAGGGCCTGGCCGATGTTTTGCTCTGTTTTGTTGTGTTTCCTCGTCTAGGTCCTGCTCGCTTCTCCTTGGAGACAGGCGCTCTGCACAAAACACTCCCTATTAACTCTGCTAGATCAAATGTCTGAACGACTTCTTTATCAGCCTGAGCAAATGAGATCGGGTGAATGCAGAAGGCGGGGACAAGAGCTGTCTGGAAATGCGGGAGGCAGAGAATCATGTCTGTTTATCCAGTGGCAGCATTTTCTGGTGCTTTTCAGCCAAAAGGTGGCTCCCAGGACAGCTTACACAGATTAAGAATCGCAGCCCCTGCCTGGAGGCTTGCAATTTAAAAGGCACATCACAAAAGGAAAATTGGCTGGGATGGAGAAGGAAAAACCCTCCAGTGCTAAGTTTTAGTTTGGAAATGTTTTCTGTTTCAGCAACATTTGTAAGATATGGCATCCAGATGTTTGCCTTCCAAGAGGCCCATTTTCAGCAAGTTTGGGTCAATAGAATCGACAAGAGGATCACTATTTCCCACTTCCTAGGGTTATATGAGAAAGTCATTTCAGCTTGTCATTGCTCAGAATTCTCCCAGTGTGCACTGGACACAAACCCATGCAGTCTGCAGTCCTATATAGTACATTTCCAAGCTTGGGGCATGGCATGTGGACCACAGAGTCCTTGAAAATGTATGTGTTGGGGAAAATATCCATGAAAAGTGCATCCAGCTGAAAACCACAAGCAAGCACACTTTGATGCGTTCATTGTGGAGACGGACAGACATGCACACATTTTGCATACAAAAGGAAAAAAGGGTGAATGCTAAGGTGGAGTTCGGAACATGTTGGTGGACTTGTGGGTGCAGCTCATTCTTGTAGCTCAGCCACTTCCCACGCAATAAGATTCTCGAAGTGTCAGCCTGTGAGGAGTGATATCCAAGGACACTGAACCACAACCCCCCCCCCCCCCGGTTCACTGCCATACAAATAAAAGTTCTGGGACCTTTATTCACCTTCTTCCCCTTGCTGGGTTGATTGAGGTTAACTGAAGGGTCCTGGAATGGAACTTGGAACAAAAGAATATGCGACTTGGCCTTGTTCCTGTGGATCTGAAATGTGGGAAGGGGTTTTCTGGGGGCCAAAGTGATGATGATGATGATGCATATAATATTAGTATCAATATATTAAGAATTTGTAATTATTCATGCTTTCAATAAGGAATAATTGCTAACATTTAATGATTGATTGATTGATTGATTGATAACAATATTTTCATTTCTGTAATGCCCAATAGCCAAAATTCTCTGGGCAGTTCACAACAATTCTTAAAATTACAAAAACGCAAATACAGGGAACAAATGACAACATGGCATTTCCTAGCACAACACAAGAAGAGAGGCGCTGCAGGGCAGTGGCGGACATGGGCCAGGCACAGACACTCAGCCAAGCCTACCCCACAGGGTTGTTGTGGGGATAAGACTGAGAGCAGGAGGATGAGGAGTTAAGCCACTTTGAGTTCTTTAAAACGAAAAAGAAAAAAGGGGGGCGGGATTTCCATGCGCAAAGTAGGAAGTCATGTATCCTGAATGGAGGCAGCCCCAGGTGCCTTCCAGATGTTCTTGGGGAGGGCAGTGTCTCCACACCCCCCCCCCACCCAGTGCCGGCTGCAGGAGCCTCGTGCTGACGTCACAATGGTTGCTTGGGGGCCCTCCACTCCAGCTGGACAGCGGGATAGTGGGCCCTCGTCTGGTGAGTCTTGGGGATCTGCTGGGAAAGGGGGACCCCCAGTCCCCAATTCACTGAAATCGGTGTTAACACGGAGTACCTGATGGGGGCCACAAACGCCCCCGAGCAACAGAGCTCGAATCCAGCCTTGGCCAACTCAGGGCTGGAGGTGGGCAGTCTGGAAGCTTCCGGGTCATGGGGAGATGGTCAACCCAGAGACAGAACGTCCCGCCCAACGCCTCCTCCTCACAGCCTCACCCCAAGTCCCCCGGATGCTCATGGCGTTGCGGCTTCCAGGCTTCTGTGCCACTCCTCACCTGAGCACAAAGGGTTAAAGGGCCCTCCTACAGCTTGGGTCAAGGCAGCAAGAGCCTTGGGCAAAATAGGTTGGCGCCACCCCGCCTGCCTTTGGCCATCGCTGGCACCCAAAAGGCATGTCGTGAGCGGAGCCGGGGGTAAGACTAGATGGCCCAGGAGGCCCCTTCCGACTCATTCCCTCCCTTCCTTCCTTCCTTCCTTCCTTCCTTCCTTCCTTCGTTTACAGTATTTTTACCCCATCTTTAACAACGGCTCAGGACAGCTTGCAGCATAGTTAAACATAACAATAAGTAAGTAGAACCAATACATCAAACATAATGAAATAAGATAAAATGTGACTAAGCATGATCATTAAAAACTAGTTAAAATGTTTAAGTATTAAAATGCCAGACGAATAAAATGGTTTTTACCTGGCGCTGAAAGGAATATAATGTTGGTGCCGGGCAAAACTCCCCGGGGAGCACATTCCATAATAGTTGGGGTGCCACCCTTAAGGCCTAGAGAGTTTCTGCACCCCTGGCATGGACATCGCTTAGCTCCCTGGTCCAAAGCTTTAAATCATCACGAATCCGTGAGCCACAGATTCAGGGCGCAGGAGGGCAGGGGAGCGAGAGGAGGAGATGGGAAGGGCTTCCACACCCAGCAGACCCAACGGGGAATCGGACTCTGCAAGCTGCAATGGAGGGCGGAGGTGCCCCCAGGGGGATCTGGCACATTCACAGCAGAGGCAGCTGCACCTGCTACACCAGCACTGGGGACAAACGGACGGCATCTTGCAGCCTTTCCCCACCTGGAGCGTCCCAGTCATGGCCACACCCCTCGTTCCCATCCAGCATGGGCTGGGAATGAGGGGTGCTGCAGTCCAGCTAAGATCAAAGAGACAAGGTGGGAAAGGCTGGGCTATTGCCCCGGACAGGAACATAGAAAGATAGAAACAGAGCGAGTCAGAAGGGGTCTCCCGGGCCATCTAGTCTGACCCCCGGCTCCAGCCGGCTCCACTCACGACATGCCCACCATGTGGACGTCCAGCCTGTCCCTGAACACCCGCACCGATGGGGCCTCAGCCACCTCCCGGGGAAGCCCATTCCGCACCCTCGGGGTCCTGACGGTCAGCAAGTGCTTCCTGGCATCTACCCTGAGTCTCGGTTCCCTGAGCTTTGCTGCCCTGGAGCGCGTCCTGCCTTCCTCCACAGGGCAAAGCAGGCCTCGACTCAGTAGCATCGGTCATGGGACTACTGAGCCACCTTGCTCTCTTGAGAGCGGCGTCTCACCCCAGGAAGGCAACCCTAACCTCCTTTTTGCAGAGAGCGGAAGAATGCAAGCAGAGGGGTCAGGCCCCATCCACCAACCAGCTTTGGATGTTTATATCTGCCGTGAGCAGACCGTTGATCAAGCCACTGGGTCTTCTTTGGCTGTTCGGGACCAACCCCTCCCAACAAGCACAGGTAGCTCCCAGGTGACAGGAGAGGCCATGAGGACTGAAGCTCAGCAAAGAAGGAGTCGAGGAATTGTGAGGGGGCCCTCCTGCTAAGAAAAAATTCTCGGTGCTTCGGCCCGGTCAGCTCTGGTTCCACTATGCCACAGCCACCAAATGACTGTCACAGAAGAGAAGAAGACGGAAGCTTAGTTTCTTAGCCTTTCCTGTGATGACCATCCCGTTAAAAAATTGTTTTGCCCAGGTCTGAAATGACTTCCAATGTCCCAAAGCAGACCAGACGGGGATGAGACTGAGCTGGAGGGAAATCACCACCCAGGCCCCGAAATGGAGAATGAAGAGCCAGAGGCTGCTGCAGAAGAACCCAGTTCCAGCCCTTCCGCTGGGCTTCAGGCGTCAAGCATGGAGCAGGCCCAGAAGCAAGGCAGCTGGCTTTGGGGCTGGCTCCCTTTCCCGCTTCTCTCAGGACTGACCTGGCTGGGAGACAGGTAGCACAGCTAGGAGATGCTCTTTACAACCAAGCCTCTCTCACGTGAGGTGGGAAAATCTGAGCCCTATTTCTTATGGGATGATCGAGCTGGAAGGGTCTCCAAAGGCCATCCAGTCCAACCCCCAGCTTCTGGAGGAAATCTCCAACAGATGGCTTTGCCTCCGTGGTAATTGGCTCCACCATGAGCTGCTCTGAATGTCAGGAAGTCCTTTCTGCCCTTCTCCACAGCACTGCACCCCAGAGCCCTCCCCAGCCAGCTTGCGCCACCAGATGGCAGGAAAGACTCAGAGCGGTCCAAGAAATTGGCTGAGAGTGGCCGTCATTTCTCTTCCACCCCTTTCCATGGTGTGGTGCCTCCATTAAATCCCAGAAATGCTTGTAACAGCCCGATAATGCAGTGTCCCGCAATGTTCCCATGCCATCTTCTGAGAACGTAAGAGCCCCAAGGCTGGATTGGACCCAGGGCCCATCAAGACCAGCATCTGTTCACACAGTAGCCAGCCAGCCACCCATGTTCCCCAGCAAATGATGGCCACAGGCATTCTGCCTTTGACACTGTAGGTGGCCTGTGGCCATCTGGACTGGCGGCCACAGATGGCTTTCTCCTCCATGAGTGAGGAGGGACTCTTAGGGGTTGGCCCCAGATCTTCCATCGGGGTCCCGCCCGATCCCCTTGCCAAAAAAAATGCCCAAGGGACTTGAAGATCCCTGCTGCATCAGATCCCCCGGCCACAGGTGATTTGGGGCTCACATGAGCTTCACCCCCCCAATTGTTCTCCCTGAGTTTTTCCCCCAAATCAAATTCTTCCCTCGTTCCCTGTCCATAATCCCTTTCAACGAATAGGGGCATACTTACGACACCCCTTTAAGGACTCACACACAGAGGGAGACACAAGACGAATCTTGGCGGCGTTTTTGGCCCTGTGGGCCTGAATCTTTTCAGAGCCCGCCACAACCACTGCCTGGACGTGCCTTGTCGCCTTTTAAAGCCATCCAAACCGGAGGCCGACGCTACATTTTGCGGCTGCAAATTCCCAGGCTTTATTTTGCCCGCCCTTCATCCTGAATTTCTCACCCATCAGCCTCTCGGGTTGCTTCCATGTTATGAGAGAGGCCGAAAGTCTCTATTGCACGCCGTGCATTGTTTTTGGGTGCCACACACCTGTCTCACGGCTGCCTCCAGGCGCTAAGTTAACTATCCCAGGCATTGCAACGGTTTCTCTTAGTGTAGGCGCTGCAGCCCGTGGATCGTTCCGTTGCCCTTCTTTCCCCGTTTCTGTCCACATTGACAATATCTGCTTTAATGAGTGGTGATCAGCACCCCACACAATATTCCAGGCGCAATCACAGCGTGCGTCAGGCTCTTCTTATTGCCCGTTCCTTTCCTAACGGTGGAATTAGGAAGCCTGGAGATGCGGGCCTGGAGGAGCAGCCAGCGACCAGCAGTGAGGCCTTTTGGACAGGCTGGGGGCTGCCGTGAGGCCGGAGGAGCGCACCAAACACCCCCTCGGGTGCTTGAAGATGCTGCCGCAGTACCAGCACTGAGGACGATTTAACTGGCAGCCCACGGAGAGAGAAGGGGAATGGATACCCTTTTGCCTCAGGAAGCCAAGTGTCTGGTCCTCAGTGCGGCACCTTGCGAAATGGCTGACATTCTGAACTGGCACAGACCACATGTGGGTGCTCGGTTCATAATCCAAATGGAACATGTCGGACAAAAAAAAATGCGTTCTGAAACAGGTAGAGTCAAATGTTGGCCGTGCCAGTAAAAAGCCCCCAACCTTAGTTAAACTTTCCTTTCCGAGCAGGGCTGTTGCACTGCAGGCCTGTGGGACACGGGAAGGTCCCATTCCCGTCACAGCTGCACCATTTTCCCACGATGGCTTGGTGGCTTCCCGACTTTTGTGCAGGCAAAGGTCTCCTAAAAATTCTAAAAAGCCTCCGCTCCTGGCAGGAGAAGCTTTGTTGCAAGGTGATGACTTGGGAGTCCTCTGACCTCGCCCCTTTCTCCTTGAGCCACTCCCACCCCAGAATGCGGCCCCCCGGGGCTTCTCTGAAATGGGGAGCAGCCCTTGGAAGAGGCCGCTTCCCCACCCCTGTTTTAGAGCAAGTTTCATTGCCTGTCTCCCTTTGCTTCTCAGGAATAGGACCCCGCAAGAGCTGGCTTGCTGCCAGCTGGAGAGGAAAAGATCTTCCAACAGGATGTGCCCAGAATGTGAAATTACTTTCTGCAAAACATGTGGAACGTTACATTACAGCCAGGGCTTCATTGAGCATGGACTCCTGGGCCACAGCACTGAAAGCCTGCCAGAACTTCTGAGTCCAACACAGAGCACAAGCAAGACACAATGAGGACTAGTGTGCTGGTAGGCTGGGGCAAGATGCTGTGTTTCCTAAGCAGGCAGATTCCCACGGCACAGCTGCCTCCTCTTTGCCAACAGAGGTTTTGTGTGGTGGCAGGGAAGAAGCGTGGCACAGGCAGTTTTCTCCTGACAGGTTGGGAGAAGGTTGCTTTCCGCTGCTCAAAAGGAGGAAACCAGGCTGGCCTGTATTTTGGACTCTGGATTAGTTCCTTTAAAGAGAAGTCTCTCATGACTTTAACGCATGTGTGTCAATGGAAGGTTAGCAGCTTTCTCGATTATCATTGCAGCTGGGGAGGGTTAATTCCCCTCCCTGTCTTCTGCAACAGCCCCCCCCCCCCCCGGCAAATGCTCCTTCAGTGTGGCAATATATATTTTTCCAAATTGGCTTCCAGGGCCTTTGGGGCTTTGGGTCAGGGTGCAAGCCTGGCCAACTGTTTGGGACAACGGGAATGACACATTGGCTGGCCTTGCATTCTGTGAAATTTAAATTAATCCCACGTGTGCCTGAAACATAGGAAGGGGTTTGGGCAGGTCTGTGTCCTACAGGCGTGGCCTGCAATCTTTCCAGCTCCCAGCCTTTTATTGGGTGAGGACCACATTTCGAAGCTTGACTGTTGGTGATATTGACTCAGTAGGACTTCCATGATCAGGGGCTGCAGGGAGGGGAGGCCTAAATCTTTGGGCTTCCTGGCGGCCTCTGGGCCCTTCTGAGAAAGCAGCTGTCAGATGGCAGGGCTAGTTTGGTCTGATCCGGTGGGGCTCATTGGTGCTTAGTCCCAATCCCGCTTGGCCATGAAGTTCCCTGGCAGACTTTGGGCCTGTCGCTGAGACTCAGACTGACCTACCTTGCAGGGATGTTGTGAAGGGGAAATTGAAAGGAAGATTTTAAGCAGCCTTGTATTCCTTGCATATTAAAAGGCAGGGTATGAATTTAAAAAATAGATAAAATGCCAGAGAGTAAGTACATTCACAGAAGACAGGTCTATGCATGGACACTCTGCCCAGTGGGACCTCCTGGGTTAGTTGCCATAACAGACCTTTCCAGAAGCTTCTGGCTGACCACTGCTGGAAACAGGAGGCAGGGTCAGAAGGATTTTGGCCTGACCTGGCAGGATCAGATCAGCCACACGGCCTCCCTCTTTCTTCCAGGTTCCATTGGCATGGCCATTGTTCCCGGGGAAGCAGGAGGCGAAGCGAGGAAGCTGTGAGGTTTTATCGCTCCATAGCTGGCAAGCCAGCCAATTCATCTACTGGCCCAAGGGGCAGCAACCTCGGGATTTCAGGATGCCCAAATTCGGCACAGCTGACTCTCAAATGCAGCCTGTGTGCCCATGCTTTTAAAATGCAGACTTCTGCAGACTTGTGTTTTATTCTGAATAAAATCCCTCCTATGTTTTGTTGACCGGTTTAGTGGTACTGTGGCGTCGCTCACCCGAAAGAAACATCATTGCTCACCTGAAGCAATGAAGGCCAAGGTTCCTTTCCTGGGAATGCTTGTTGGGAAAGGTGTATTTTCATTCATTGTTGTGACGTGCCATCAAGCCATCTCCAACTTATTTACTAGGGTTATATCATGCCGCTCCCTCTCTTTTTTCTTACAAAGAACTCAAAGCGGCTTTTACCATTTTTCTCCTCCTGCTCTCCATCTTATCCCCACGACAAGGACCCTGCGAGGTAGGCTGGGCTGAGAGTCTGCGACTGGCCCAAAGGCACCCGTTGGCTCCATGGCTGAGCGGGGACTCGAACCCGGATCGCCCGAGTCCCGGTCCCGTGCTCTTCACCACTCCATTCCACGGACCCTCCATGGCAGCTCTGAAGGGAAGCGCTCCAAAACATCCTACATTTCAGCCCTAAATTCACGGCTGTGGCTTCCTTGACCGAGTCGGTTCATCTCCTCTTTGGTCTTCCTTTTCCTCTCCTGCCTTCGGCTTCCCCAACATGAGGGTCTTCCTCAGGGAGTTTGGCCTTCTCACGATGCATCTGAAGTAGGACAACCTCCATTCAACTCAGCAGTGGCCACAGGATTGGAAAAGGTCAGTTTACATTCCGATCCCAAAGAAGGGCAATGCCAAAGAGTGTTCGAACTACCGCACCATTGCACTCATTTCACACGCTAGCAAAGTGATGCTCAAAATCCTACAAGCTCGGCTCCAGCAGTACGTGGACCGAGAACTACCAGAAGTACAGGCAGGATTTCGAAGAGGGAGAGGAACAAGAGATCAAATGGAGAAAGGAGAAAGCTAGAGAGTTCCAGAAAAACATCTACTTCTGCTTCATTGACTATGCTAAAGCCTTTGATCGTGTGGATCACAACAAATTGTGGCAAGTTCTTAAAAAGATGGGAGTACCAGACCATCTTATTTGTCTCTTGAGAAACCTATATGCGGGTCAAGAAGCAACAGTGAGAACTGGACATGGAACCACTGATTAGTTCAAAACTGAGAAAGGAGTTCGGCCAGGCTGTATACTGTTGCCCTGCCAACTTAACTCATATGCAGAGCACATCATGAGAAAGGCGGGGCTGGATGAATCACCAGTTGGAATTAAGATTGCTGGGAGAAATATCAACAACCTCAGATATGCAGATGATACCACTCTCATGGCAGAAAGTGAAGAGGAACTAAAGAGCCTCTCGATGCGGGTGAGGACGAGAGCACAAAAGTTGGCTTGAAACTCAACATTAAGAAAACTAAGATCATGGCATCTGGTCCTCTCACTTCCTGGCAAATAGATGGGGAAGAAATGGAGGTAGTGACAGATTTTCTTTTCCTGGGCTCCAAGATCACCACAGATGGGGACTGCAGCCAAGAAATTAAAAGACGTTTGCTCCTGGGGAGGAAAGCTATGGCAAATCTAGACAGCATACTAAAAAGCAGAGACATCACCCTGCCAACAAAAGTGTGTATAGTCAAGGCTATGGTTTTCCCAGTTGCAATGCATGGCTGTGAAAGCTGGACCATAAGGAAGGCTGAGCGCCGAAGGATTGAGGCCTTTGAATTGCGGTGCTGGAGGAGACTCCTGCGAGTCCCTTGGACAGCAAGGCGATCAAACCGGTCAGTCCTGGAGGAGATCAGCCCTGACTGCTCTTTAGAAGGCCAGATACTGAAGGTGAAACTCAACTAATGGCCACCTAATGAGAAGGAAGGACTCCCTGGAGAAGACCCTGATGCTGGAAACAATTGAGGGCAAAAGGAGAAGGGGACGGCAGAGGGTGAGGTGGCTGGATGGGGTCACTGAAGCAGTCGGCGTGAGCCTGAGTGGACTCCGGGAGATGGAGGAGGACAGGAAGGCCTGGAGGAATGTTGTCCATGGGGTCGCGATGGGTCGGGCACGACTTTGTGACCAACAACAGCAACAGGGGAAGCTCAGGCTCGATTTGAACCAGGGCCCCCTTGTTTGCCTTCTGATGGTCCAGGTCATTCATGGTGCTCTCCTCCAGCCCCATATTTCCATGGGTCACCCTGGACCAGCCTGCAGTTCTGGGGAATCCCAAGGGATGGTGACTCTGCCAACAAATGCCAATTAGGACTGGACCCCCAACTCCAACCAGGCTGCTGGAGGGCCAGCCCTGACCCTTGGCCCTGCACAGCTCATGGGGGGCATGGTTTTCTACCTGGGGGGTAGCCCTCCTGCGGCAGCTCCAACAGCATTTGGAATATTGGAAAGCTGTGCAAGCGATCTGACCGCCTTGGTGGGACCCCTGGCCTGTCACCTTAATTTGGTCTGTGGAGGTCACCTTTCCAGCCTGCAGAACTGCCTCGGGTTCTTCTGGGGGGAGGACCTGGTCCTGAAGCTGACCCCCCCCCCCCGCGAAGGATTCCCGTTGTCACCTAAGATTTCTTCCTCGCGTGATTCGCTCAGGATTTGGAGCCCCTCAGTACAACGGGGTTTACAGAGGAGCTGCAGAGCTTCTGAGCAGGAGGGCCTCTGCTTCCGGCCACCACTTCCTTGGCCTCCTCCTTGGCTTCTGGGTCCCCACCCCCGGCACTGACAACCCCCCCCCCCCCCGTGTGATCTCCACCCGGAGAGCGGAGGTGACAGCAGGGGCGGGAGGAGAACTCGGCCCACGTGGCTTTGCACAGCATGGTGCCTCCCAGGGGATGCCGCCCAAAGCCAGGAGTGCGGCCTGCACTGGGCAAGTCCCCTTCTCTGTGATGCAAAAGATGCCAGGGGTTTTGGCAAAAGATGTCCTTCATCACCATTAAAGTTTGGGCTGAAACCCGGGGTGGATACACCGCCCACCTTACGGACATCCAACTCGCTGCCCATAGGAGGTTTGGACTGCGATTCCCAGTGATGGATGAAGCTGGAGTCAAAGCTGAGTGCACAGCTGAGGCAGGCGCATTTTCACACCAGGGCTGGGCATGCCTGGAAATAAGCCAGCCCGTGGGCCTCACTTTGGAGCGGGCATGCAGAGGGTTGCGCCGAGAATCGGGCCCCAGAAAGGTAGAACTCGGCCACCATGAATGTGGTCCCACCCTGAGGAGGGGTAGTGAAATGAAGACGCTCATTTCTCAAAGCAAAACTGTACAAAATGACTTTTACTTTTTTCAAGACTATGTATCACACACGGGAGAAACGAGCAGGGATTTTCAAGGGTGGATGGTCCACTGGGGACCGTTTCTACTGTGCTGGTAAAAGTTTGCATTCAACATGATCCCATAAGCAGTCATAGAACCCCCCATAACCCCCCCCCCCCCTGCCATTAAAAAAAAACCCAGTAGAAACCCTCAGGAAAGGATGTTCCTGCCTCGCCCTCCCCTGAGCCGCTAGCGTTCTGTGTGCAGGTGGCTGCTTTCACAGAGGCACATTCCACCGAGTGTGCCCTGGCCCAGCCGGGGCTTGAGTTCAGCCGTGCGCTGGCAAAGGCTTCCCTGGGTTATCCCGAGATGCAGCCACGCGATCCAGCCAATGTCCATTCCTGCACTCGCTCACGACCCCAGTGCCAGCTCAGTCCTCCAGGACAAGAGAGTTCTGAGGGACAGAGAGGTGGTGGGAGGCACAGGCCGCAGAGCTGCACACCTGCCAGGTGGCCCCGCCCCTTGGTGGGCGCTCCACCTTGGCTCCAAAATCCACCTGCATTTTGAGCACCCCTGCACGGGCTCCAGCCACCCGCATGGCAGGCGGCCCCCAAGTGCCCCCCCCCCCAGGCCGAACGTGGCCTTCCCACTGCAACGGGTTCAACACCAGAGCGTGGGGCACTGGGCGCTGCCCTCCAGGGGTCTAGAGGTGGCACAGTGGAGCTGCCAAAGGCCTCCCGCCACTCGGGCGGAATGATGCGTTCCTGGAGCACGTCCTCCAAGAGCCCCAGCACCACCCTGGCCGTGGCCCAGCACCCCCTCAGCCCTGCCACCTCCCCCTTGACGGGGTGAGACCGCACACTGCATGGCACATGGGCCAGACTGTCCGATCGGGCCACAGCGGGGCAGGCCCGATGCTCTTCCGGGCACGGCCTGGGTCCCGGCGTGGGGCCGGGAGCCAGCAGCAGGTGGAAACGGGACAGCGCAGCAACTGAAAGGCAAACACCCGAGAGTGAGGTTCAAGTAGTGGATGATCCGAGCAGCGTGAGACCTTTGCAGCCACGTGTGGTTTGCTTGCTCGTCTTTTCTCCTGCAACTGCACAGCTGAGTCAGGCCACAGTTCGTCCGTCCGTCCGTCCGTCTCATGACCAAATGAAAGGCAAACTGCAAGACAGGATGTGGGCCTCCTCCAAACTGGAATATGTCCAGGACCTTCGGCGGTCTGGAGGCTCAAACTGCAGCCTCATTGATTCCCGGGTCCCGACAGCCGAGCCAGGACACCTGCTTGGCCCATTTCCCCGTTTCCACCACCTGCAGCCTCTCCGGGTCGAATTTCCAGAACTGGTCACTTCGGAAGAAGTACACGAAGCCGTCCCAGAGGGTGAGAGCGCCGTTGGCCATGGCTGGCACCCCTCCCCAGTCCTGCAGGCTCCTGGGGTAGTACGGCTCCACTTGGAAGGATTCCTCGTCGACCACGTAGTATTTGGGGCCTTTGAAAAGGACCACATGGTGCAGCGGCTGGAAGTAGAGGGCCGTGTCCGGGTGGCGGGGCAGGTCGCCCGCATCGCTGCACTTCTGGGGGAAACCCGCGTCCGGCGAGGGGCCTTTGTAGCGCCAGCATCGGCCACCTGTGGGGGCGGCAGGACGGAGGGCGCTCGGGACCGGAGAGCAGCCAGGCCAGCCTCGCAGAGCCCAGCCACTCAAGGGTCGGGGAGAGGAGCGAAAAGCGGGACTGCTGCCCTGGGAGCAGAGGCAGTGGAGTGGGGAAGCAATGATCCTCGGTGTGGGCAAGGCCGGAGGGAGGCTTTTCTCCCTCTCACATAGAGCGTAGCAAGCTAGAAACAGAGCGAGCCGGAGGGTCCTCCCGGGCCATCTAGTCTGACCCTGGCTCCAGCCGGCTCCGCTCATGACATGCCCAACATGGACTTGTCCGATCTTTCCTTGAAGGCCCGCACCGATGGGGCCTCAGCCACCTCCCATGGAAGCCATTCCACACCCTCGGGGGCCTAACCGTCAGGAAGCACTTCCTGGCATCCAACCGGAAGCCTGGTTCCTTGAGCTTTGCCCCACTGGAACGCATCCTGCCCCCCACTGCAGGGGAGAACAGCTCACGGCCCTCCTCCACATGGCATCCCCTCGCATACCTGTAAGTCACTAAAAGACCCCTCAGAGTCTCCCTTCTCCAGGCTGGAAAATACCAGGTCCCTCCACCTCTCCTCATATGCCATCCCTGCCAGCCCTGCACTGGACCGATTCTAACCCAGCTGTGTCTCTCCTATAATGCTGAGCCCAGGACCGGTTTCCGCCTCCAGGCGTGGTGAGCAAGATCGACCCCTCCCTTGATCTGGCCCATGGTACTAAAACCCAAAGGGCTCCCCCTGTGAAGCTGCTGTGTGGGAGATCCACGGCAGGTCAAAGTCAGAGTTAAGCCACGGAACTCACTGTGCCGAGATGGCCACTGGTTTGGGAGGCTTTGAAAGGAGACTGGACAAAAGCATGGAGGGGCAGGCCATCAAAAGTTACTAGTCCTCATCACTTGCAGCATCAGAGGCAGGATGCCTGACTGCACCAGTTGCTGCGCAACATGGGTGGGAAGGCGCTGTCACGCTCCTGGCCTGCTTCTGGGCTTCCCAGCGGGACACCCAGCTGGCTGCTTCGGCCTGATCCTGTGCAGCACGTGCGTCTCTGGTGCTGGCCAGCAGGTGGCAGCTGAGGTCACCTGCGGCCTGGACCCCTTTGCTGGGCGTTTGCCTGGAGCTTACTTCTGAGCAAAGCAGAAGCAAAGGGCTCGTCACACTGCTGAACAGTCCGCGCCTGTTTTGGCGCACAACTTAGAAGGGCAGGAGAAGCTGATGCACGGAAAGCTGATCCATCCCAAGGGAAGCACTTCTGATCCCATTGCTCCCATGGACTGGAATCTCTCCCCTTGAAATCAGTCCATGCTTCCCTTGGGATGGAGCATGGCCGCTGCGTTTGGACCAGAAATGTGCAGGTTTGCCCTGCAAGGGCTCCCACACTTTCCTCAGCCTGGCACCCTCGAGATCTCTTGGATACCCCTGTCTTGCCTGCAGCCCCCGTCACACATAACTACCTTTGAAGAAATAGAATTTCCCGTCTTTCTTGGAGAAGGTTGCTGCATCGAGGGTGGGTGGCAGCCCCAGCCACCTCGTCCGGAGGGGGTGTGGCCCCTGCGCTTTTCCTCCCTTGGGTACAAGCCAGTAATATCCACCTTTGAAGATATACAGGTCGTCTTGTGAATCTGCGTAGGACAACGGGATGCAAGTTAGAGCTCCTAAGTGTTTGGTCTGAAGACCTTGCGCACAGGTGGAATCGCACACGGCCAGGGGGTTTTGGGGTGGGGGAGAAACCCTCTGGGCCAAGACTGCCCTTCCAGAGAGCTTTTTCAGCAAGTGGCACTCAGAATGTTCCTTCCATGGGCTCACAGCCCCTGCTGGGCTAGTTCTGGAAGGACCACGCACAATCCACACAAATAGTCCACGAAGCAGCAAAAACCTCAGGGCTGGGGGCCAAACCCAAGTCGCCAGGCTCCTGTCATCCCCCCACCAGCCCTGACCTTTGGGCGGTTCCATGGCTCATGTGCAGCTTGTTCCTGATCCTGCAAACCTGGACCTTCTGAGGCCGAACTGCTGGGCGCACAGGGTGGCTCAAAGGGGCAGGCCCGGGCTGGGGGCTCGTCCCCTCGCCTTCGGCTCCTGGCCTTTTGCCAGCTGAAAGCTCAGCCTAAGCTGTGAACCTCCCGGACTGCCAGCGGCTGGTGGACTTTTCCAGGCAGAAAAGGCAGGGCAAGACTGTAGGAAAGAAAGCGCTTCTCTTGGCGGGACCTTGGCCTGGGCATGAGAAGCCACAAAGGCAAGTGCTCCCACCTGGACGGGGGCCGAGGAGCCAGCGGGAGGCGACCCGGGGATCGCTGATAGTCCAGGTGTCGTGCGTTCCTTAGGGGCTTGCTCGGTCGTTTAGGCAGCTGCACTCTGCACCACTTGTTTGTCTGAAAGGCCGCTCCAGAAGGGGCTTCTAGGAGGATGCCACCCACACAGCTCTGCCTTCCAGGAGGCAGCCCGGGCACCCCCCCCCCCCCCAATCAGCCCCTTTGTCGGCCCTCGTGGCTCTTCCTGCCACGCTCCCGGGACTCTGCACACAGAAGGTCATGCATGTCGACGATCAGGCATTTAAAATGCAAAATTCTGAAATCAAGCAAGGAGGGTGTAATGTACAAAAACCCAGGAAAGCAGCAAGCTTTTGAAGTCCTCATCTTGAATCCTCTCTCCAGTTCTGAGCACCAAGATTTAAGAAAGATGCAGAAACATTAGAAAGGGTCCTGAGGAGGGCAACAAAATGGAGCTGTCTTGGGTTCCTTACAAGAGGGAAAAAGGCAGGATATAATTGCCAAATGATATAAATAATCATAGTTAAACTTGAAACGCAGAATGGTGTTGAGACTGGGCACACCGGCTTTCACTCTGACGTCTCAAGGTTCAGAATGAGCGGCGAATTCTTTGGTTTTTCTCCCTGCTTTGAAAACTGTGAGCACATAACAGAGACAGGGCTGATCCTACCCCAGACATGTGTGTAAATATTGCACTCATCTCTGCATTCCACAGAATTTGGGCAAATTTGCCCCTTGCAGAGAAACACCATGTTTCTAACAGTTCATGTGCTGCAAAGTCTTTGCACGGCTGCCAGGTGCCCACATGCTTCCTGCACGGGGTCTTGTAGCAATCCTCCGTACAACAACCCTGTAAAGTAGGCCAGCATGATCACCCTTGGGTTGTGGGAGAAGAAAACCGAGGCCAGACGGTGACAGTGGGATGCGAGGCGAAGAGGGGAAATTTAAATCCAGTCTCTTTATCCGTGGCTCCTCCGCTTTGCTTTCCCTGCCGAAGCCCCGGCTTACCGATGGTGATGGCATCGAAGAATGACCAGCAGTAGTGAGAACTGAGGCTGGGATCCTGGTGCCGGCGCCCGTCGAGATCCTGGCTCCAGTCCTGGAAGTGTGCAAAGAGCTTTCCTGGGAGCTGGACGACCGGGCCACGGTGAGCCTTCCCTGTCAAAAAGAGACCGCAAGAGAAATGGGACCTGGGGCATTTCTGGGGGTGGCTGTCTCAGGACAGGGCTTGCTCTGTGGAACCTGCTGCTTAACGGCTGCCCTTAAAATCCAGAATTCGGGGGCCTAAGAAAGCTAAGCGCAGCCACCTGAATGAAGTGCGCACGTGCATTCCTGCCCGCGAGGGGCGCGCAAGCTTTGGTGCATGGGCCCCGTTGGCAGTAAGACCAGCATGTGTGCCCCTTTCACTCCTCCCCCCATCTTTGGCACTCTCTTCCACTGGCACTCGTCCCCCCAAAGCGTCTCCAGAGTGGCCTCTTGCCTCGGGGCTGAAAGAAGCACCCTCAAGGAAGATGGGCGACTCTTCCCCCCTCGAAGGCTCCTGGAGGCCCCATGACGCATCTTCCCCTCAGAACGACGACGGGACGGGCGGAGGGGTGCTGACATCTCTTCTTCTTTTTGCCCACCTGTTGAGACCTAAGGACCAGCCCAGGTGAGTAGATGAAGCACCGTCCCCAGGACGAGCATGGGCACCCGTGGTGCCTGCCGGCGTGAACGGGGGGCGGGCGGCCAACGCCACATTCCACGGAGAGCAGAGTCACGCGTGTTGCTGTTCAAGCCGAGCTGGGGACATCCGGGGCCCAAACTGATTTAACGACACCACTGCCCAGGGTGCAAATATCCACCGGCTAAGAGCCTGATGGATCCCCTTGTACAGGGGCAGTTTACCTTTGAATTAGAAAGTGGAACCCCCCGTTGTTCTGCCATTTGCAAGCAATAACGGATTTTGCAAGCCCTCCCCCTTAGAACAGCCTTCCCCAACCAGGCACCCTCTGGGTGGCTTGGAGCATAAACTCGGGTGATAAACTGACACGGCTGGCCGGGGAGGATGGGATTTGTACTCCAACCCACACAGAGGCCACCTGGTGAAGCAAAGAAATGAGAAAGGCACATTTGCCACTCACTTGGAAAAAGGCATTTGGAGTTTTCAGGAGCCCGTGTGCTTTCGGATTTGACACCTGTCACACGGAGGCAGCACAAATTATTCTCGCAGTAACAACGGTGCGAGCGAGCGAGCGAGCGAGCGAGCGAGCGAGCGAGCGGCACTCACCATACAGGTTCTGGATAGCAAGAATGTCATCCCAGCTCAGGATGAAATCCTTGCCGAGCCGCTTGTAGTAGGGCGACATGAGGGCGCCGCGCACCGGCGAGTGCTCCAGGCCCAGCGTGTGCCCGATCTCGTGCGCCACCACCACAAAGAGGTTGCGCCCCTTCCCGCTGTCCAGCGACCACCTCTCGTCATTGTCGAAATGAGCCTCGCCCCGGCGGGGGAAGAAGGCGTGGGCCAGCGCGCCCCCTGGCAGGAGAAGAGGGAGGCGAGTGAGCGGGGGGCCCGGGTCCACGGCGGCAGTTGCGGCTGCCCGGCTAGTTCGGGCACACTGGGCACCTCCGGCACTCCACGGCTGAGCGGTGCTGGCTGAGCTGCCAACGAAGTGCGCTTCTCGTGGTTGGGACCACCTGGCCTCCTCCATAAACCCTTTCTGTGGGTCTTTGTGCCCGTACCTACTGAACCTGGCCAGTGCAGGAGTGAGATTTGAATTTCAGTTCGTTTTTTAAAAAGGCCTGACCTCACTTTACAAGATTCTTTTATGTCAGGAGAGAAGGAACTTGCAATTCTTAAAAGAAAAAAAGGAACTGCGGCTCCAAAAGGCTAACCAAGGAAGGATCGGTACCTGGTCCATCGAAGGCATTGTCTGCCCCGTCATTGTGGTCCCCTTGGAAGAAGGTCAGGCGAATGTCGGCCGGATCCCCCAGTGCTTCCCAGAAAACCAAGCCAGAGACGTTGCTCCAGAGCTCAAAGGCGGCTTTTACCGCCAGGCGGACTTGCTGCTGCGGCAAGTACCAGGGCCAGTTTACGAGCCGGTATGTCAGCTGTCGCTTGTACCATTTGCCACCTATGGAAAGAAAGAGAAGATTGAAAGGTGGGCCAGTGAAAATGTACGAGGCGGCCTCAGGGCCACAGGCAGGGCCTGGCATCTGCCTGCCAGACTGGTATTTCTTGTGGGGGTTCGAGATAAACAGATCCGATGATTTCATTTGGGTTTTGTGGACTGTCTTGTATTTTTTCCAGAATTTCAGGCTATCTCCAGGAGGTCGTATCAGCACAAATGCTCATGTGCATCAGTGCGCTCATATGCACGGTTAATGCACTGAAATAGCACTGACACACAACAACTTGTGCAGACTGGCACAAGTGTGTGCTACACCAATGTGCGTGTGAGCAATAACATGCCTTCCTCAGAAGTGAAAAACCAAGCCACAAGTGCACAGAATTTGTGAAACCCAGAAAAAGAAGGTCAGCTGTGGAATCCAGGTGCGCATCACGTTTCTACCTGCTCCAGATTTCTCCAGCATCCCTCGTGGAGATATTCTGATTTGCAAAGAGCCAAACTTGTTCGGCATTTGATTAGGACCCAAGTTTTAAACACTCTTATCACTGGTCTAAACAACTTTATCACTTCCATGGGTCATTTATAACCTTTTGATGTATGTGACAAGCCAAACAAATGAAATCTTTCTCTCCAACTGGTTCTCTTGCATATTTGTACTGTTTTCTTGGATGGCTCCATCTGGCGCTTATCAGCTGGCGTCTATTTTGGATTTGGTAAGTAGCGCTGATGTCCTGGGGGCAAACTATAAATAAATGGACGCGAAAGCCTGCATTTCAGCATCACTGTGATGCCATTGAGGGGTGGCTTGCAAACCAGACGGTCCCTTTAATTGTGGATGCATGAATCAGTCTTTATCCCGTCTGTGTCAGTTTTACAGGACTGAAGTGATCAATCCAAGCAATCCAACTGCTGCTTCCTTTTGTGATTGGCTTTTTTAATGCAATATTAATAATGCATGATATTAATATCATGCTATTTTTTTCTCCACAGCTTTCCCAGGTTCAGAGGCAGTATACATGTGCACATCAGTGGCTGGGGAACATGGGCAGTGATGGCCTGTTTGTGGCTTTCCGGTGTTTTGACTCTGGGCTGGCCATTATGTAAACAGAATGTGGATTACGTGGACTCAGGGTCCAATCCGGTAATGGCCCTTCTTATGTTCTTCTATACATTGTGTATGCATCTTTCCCCAATATAATTTTTTTCTCCACATACCGTAAAATCCATTCCATCAGCATTTGGCAGCTTCCCTTCTGTTATCTGCTCATTGATGGAATTTGGTTTCACACAAACCCATTCATAAGTCAATTTCCAAATCCCTCCCAAATGTGCATTTTTGCATTGTAGCCAGTGGGTAAAATGCATGGTTTAATTCATTATCTTTTCTTTTTTTGTATTTTCCTGTGCCTTATACTTTTAATAAGAATAAGAGGTCTAAAGCCTGCAGAATCCAAACAAACTTGGGAAAGATTGGTCTGCTGCAGAATCCACGGGTCTGATCTAGAAGTCTGAACTAATTCGAGTCCATTGTGGATTTCCCCAACAGCCTGAGCATGCTTCCATAATACACACATTTTTATGCTACCCTTAACATTACAAAATTGTGAGTATTAGAGACAAAACGATTGAACAGGGATTGCAAATTTCCCTTCCCTCACGCAGCTCCTATTAACTATGATATACAGGGAAAAAGACTCTGAAGGTGCACAGGGGATTCTCTCTTGGGTGTCACTTCTGTGAAACAGATGCTGCGACTTTCAGGGTGGCATCCAAGAGAGCAAGCAACGATGACAAGTCATCTCCACTGCCACTCAGAGCAGCCGACAAGAAAAGCATCTATAAATATACAGAAAATGCAGTTTAACAGTCACGGTGAATAGGCGTGACATTTTGTGGCACTCAGGGAGAAATTTGCTATTTTAAAAGAGAGAGAGAGCGAATGTACAGAGACAGCTTGGGTTTTGAGAGAATGTACAGAGACAGCTTGGGTTTTCGTCTGTGTGTGTGTGTGTGAGTGAATGTGTATCTCACCACCCCCAAAGCAGAAAGTTGGGAAAGCCCCAAAGGAGAAACTTTTTTTGCAAAGCTCAGCAGCCTTACTCTGATGCAAGAACCGCTTTCGGCGCCCTCCCTGGGCCGTCCGTCCCGAGAACAGGGCAAGTGTGCGCTCCTTCCATGAGGCATGGCTCTCCGCATCGTTCACGCCGCATCGGGGGAGACCCATGTGGTGCAGGGTGGAGGCATCGAGGGAGCCACTGAGGGGCAGGCGAGATACCCACTGGAATTCCCTTGAGGAGAACGGGAGAAAAGGGGGCTCAGTTGAGCTGCGGGGAGCACGGCTGCGACCCCTCCCCGCAGTCCCTGGCACAGCTCCGTGGCCAGGCTGTGCAGGAGGTCCCAGGGTGTATCTCCAGGCTGGGAAAATGCTTGCTCCGGGCCCTGGAGAGCCAGTCACTGCCAAACCGAGTCCTTGCACACCCGCAGTGTCCAGAAAAGCACTGGGATTGCGACGGCTGAGTGGCAACGGCTGTGCGAACACCTTCGGTGGAAGGCCTGCTCTTCTAACAGCTGGCCCCAAGCCAAAAGCGGGGAGCATCGTCTTGCTGGCCAGCCCTGGCAACCCTCATATAACACAGCCCCTCAGCTCCCCAGCAGAGAAGGATCTGTCACTTCGGGCCTGTTTTATGTCCGTGGAGGGGGAGGAAAGAAGGAACGGCGTCGGAGCAAGTCTCTGTGAAGATGGCGCATGTCCAGAGGCTGCGATGGCATTTGTGGAATCTTCCACGGCCGTCCTGGGCTTCTTGTCCTTCAGGCCCATACAAGGGAAGCAGCCGAAGCAGGCCAGGGCTGGGGCCAAGGAAAGAAGCCGGCTCCGTCTGCTGACGTGGCAGAGCAGAAGGGCCAAACGGGCACTGGGAAGTGGCGCCTGCAGTGAGCGCCTGCAGCACGGGGGTGCGGGACTCTGCTCTCTCGCGGGCCACGTGCTGCCGGCATGGGGGCAGCTGGCCTCCTCCTCCTTCTGTCCTGCAGCTGCCGGGGGAGGACAGGGGTCTGGACCGGCAGGGCATGGTGCCAAGCTACGGCCGCCACAGGCCTCGGGCTGCCCCCACCGCTCCGCAGGGGGCCACGCGCATGACGGAGCGCCACCGCTTCTCCCTGGTGTCCTTCCCAGCTGGAGCCAACACCTTTAGGGGCTTCACCTGGGGGAAGGAGCGGGGGAGGGAGAAGCGGCACCGGGTGGGGCAGCTCTGAACCTTTCTAGCTTTCATTTCAGCCCTGGGAAGTTGGGTCAGATGTGGTCGCACTGCCCATGTGCAAAAGGACCGAGGCCTCTGCCCGCTTCCTAAAATGCGGGGTGGCGGCAGCAGATGGTCTACTCATGAGCAACACAGGCGAACACTGCCCCTATTCGTCCATCGTCTGTCCGTCTGTCCAGCCAGCCAGCCAGCCAGCCCTCATTTTATCCTCACAACAACCCTGTGGGGGAGGAGATTTTATTATTGCCCGTTACATTTCTATTCCAACTTTTTCTCCCAGAAAGCCTGCGGTGGTTTTTTCCATCCTCCTCCTCTCCATTTACCTTCACAACAATCCTGTGAGGTAGGTTAGGGTTAGAACCAGTGATGGCTCAAAGGGACTCGGTGAGCTGCATGGCTGAGGGACCTGGAACCTGGATCTCCCAAGTCCCAGCCCAAAATGCTGCACCACATGGGCTCTTGAGTACATCCACAGCCCACCTTGCTCTCAGCATAGAACCCAAGGTGGCAAGCTGCCGTTCTGAGGAGGTTGCCCGTCCAGGCACTGGGCAGATGGGCACATGCATAGCAAAATGTCCATGTCATATCCCCACACTCTATTGAAAGTCTGATAGTATCTCTGTAAGGACTAGAAACGTTTTAAATGAAAATGGACATTCTGGGAAGGGGGCTGGAATATCTCTGCAGGCTCCATTCCACAACAATCCTGGGGACAAGGTCGGATTGAAGATGCCACCCACCAGCTGCCCTCCAGCAGGCGAGAGCTCAGAACGCAGGGAGGGTCCCTGCACCAGCAAGGCTGAAAGACTACTTCATTCTTCCTCTTCCCTCCCCACCCTTTTTCCTTGCATGCTGTGTCTGTTTTAGAGTGCAAGCTTGTGGGCAGGAGGCATCTCATCCAATGGATTCTGGGCCAGCTGCTGAGGAGCAGGATAAAAATATGTAAAAGAATGAGATGAGAATAAACAACTGGCAGGTCTCTCGTCTTGCTTACCGAATGGCCTCCGAGAATTTGGATGAGCCCAGTCTTTGATGCGAGGACTCAAAGTACCCGTATTTTTCAAGGTATCTCTAAAGGTAAAAAGGAGATTGTTAAGATATACATATCGAGAGAACAAGTGCCGCGTATGATTACATAACTAATGATGAGGATGGTGATAACATTCCCCTAACCAGGTGGCATGCAATAGGCACATCTCTTTTATTGATTCCGGTGCTTATAATTTAACTTTATATTTACTCTTTGAAGTAGCTGCATTTCATTTAATTTTTTATGGTTCTAGGGCATTTTAGTTTTTTGCCTGTTTGTAATCCAGCCAGGGAGCATTTGACATTAGGTAGGCTGGAAAGCAACCATCAATCAATATCAATCAATACCTTGGATGCTGTCGATGGTTTTGGTTTTATGAGGTTTTCTTTTATTTATGCCTGAAAAGTACTTTCAGAAGCTCCAAGTTTCATTCAAAAAAATTAATGGGGCTCCAGTCCATGAAAAATATCCTCAGAGAACATGCAAGAGGGTGGGTTTGACTTCCTCATGGCACCAGGCCTTATCTGTTGCGTTTATCCTAAATCTTGGTCTCTTCTGCTTGGATTATTCCCCTTGGCCAGCTCTGGAGTCTCCATGCTTGGCTCTCCCTCCAGACAGCTTGCACGGGGTTCTTGGCACCCCGAACAGGAAGGGACCTCACAAAGCTACCACTGCAGCAGCGATGCCGTGCGTAATTCCCCATCAACTGCAGTTTGATTTATTTTCGCATGAAAAACGGCTTCTTTGGGGAGTTCCAGACTTAAAGATGGGCCAAAACATGGTTTGGAGGATGGACTTGGAAGGACACGTTGATTTTTATTTAATTGCCTGCCATTTTCCGCTTTGAACACTAATTATAAACTACCAGCTACAGCGGATTGATAATATATATAACTGAAACATTTGACAGAATCTGAATTTGGCCTGCTTGTTTTCACAGCTGCCTGTGTTATTGAGTATTGACTGAAGCCAAACAATTACATTGCCCTACAATCTGTGCATGTAAGTATTTTTAATCAGTTAATAAAGATGATTTCCAGACCTTAGGGAAGAATAAAATAACAAATTGGAGCACCCCCACCATGCCCCATCGAATGAACAGTGCTTCGTTACTGCTGATTTGCAAGGAGTCACGGGTTATTGTTGTGAGCCGCCCCGAGGCTTCGGCGAATGGGGCGGCATAAAAATGCTTTAATAAATAAATAATGAATAAATAAAACAGGTATTTGAAACAACCTGGGCAAGGCAACTTCCTTCTGATACAGGCCTAATTAAAGCAGCTTAACTGTTGTGGGTGTGACCCAGCTAATGCACCTCTTCTGAATGTGCCTTGGCCATGCCCTTCTGAGGAGGGAATAGCTCAGATAAATGTTGTGACGGAGCAGAGCGGGCATTCGTACTCCAGGATGCACGCGTCCTTCTTAACCACCTAGCCATCTCTTGCAATTCAGTGCAGGGTCAACACTAATGGATTTTCCATGCCCTTTTGACAGATAAAAGACTGATATTACAACACTGGGAGGATAAATGGCCAACTGCAATGACACACGGAATCAAGAATTTAATGCAGCTCTTGACTTCTGAACAGGTGGACTTTAGGTATAATTTGCAAATGTATGGACATCTGGGCTGCCTTCGCTGAAGTACATAATCACCTGCACAGGCATATGAAGCATAGAGGGACAGATAATCCATACACGTGTGTTACGGATAAGGCTACATTTTAAGATAAATTTTATGTAAGAAGACTGCTCCATTTTCTTCTATTTGGTTCATCTTATTTTCTTCACTGTTGCTCAGGTTTTGTTGTGAGACAGCCAGTAAACGTGAATTAAAAGTAAGTTAAGGATGGATGCCACTGGTCCTTTTTCGGGGTTAGCAAGTCAAGGGGTACCTCCGTGGGCTCCTTGCACAGCTCGGGGAAGCCGCCTCCGCGCAGGGGCGCAGCTCCCCTTCCAAAGCCAGCTCCGTCCCGCACGCCCCCGGCCCGGGATCAAACACCCCCCCCCGGGGGGGGGGGGGGGGGCCCCCCACCCCCCCCCCCCCCCCCCCCCCCGCTTTGCTCCGTCCGCTGCCCTTGACAGAATCACGTTCCCCCAGGAATGTGCGATTCCGCGCGCGCAGAGGCGGGGAGCACTCGAACAGCCTCCCCAGCGGCGTGACCCCCCCCCCGCTTTCCAGAAAGTGCTGCAGAATCCAGGTGATCCCAAGACACCTGCTTGGCGCCATGGCCTGGAGGTCTCTTCGGCCAGCTGCCGTTGCAGAAGTTCCATCGCAAGGTCCGGGACCAAAGCGGAGGAAGTGCCAGCATATTATCACGGGGAGTAACCAAGTTGGGGGGGGCACTTTCTCCCTTTTAGACAGGGGGATACTGGAGGGAAAAGGGGGGACCCTTTAGGTAATCCCAGCGATTCTGAACCCTGATCTCAGATATGTCCACACAACTAAAGCGGGCCAAAAATCTCATGGCCTTCTCTGCCTTGTCTGATGGATGCTGGGGGCTGTAGTCTGTCAAACCTGTTTAGGGATTGTTTATTTGACTCCTTTTTAAAAGAAAAGCTGCAGAGTTTGAAAACAAAATAAACTGGATAAACTAAAACAATCAGATGCTTCAGCAGGAAGCCTGTGAGCAGCCACGGGCATCCTCCGCCGTGCTTGGCAGCCTCTGGTATTGGCAATATCAGCTAAAAGGGAGGGAAGCCTGGATTGTGTTTGTTTTCAGAGTGAAATCCAGGCTGCAGGTTGTTTGTTGCTGCATTGGAGTGTGCATACGGCCCGACTGTGGCACTGGTCCCCTGGGAGAAGGGGCTGCGACTCTCCGGGGGGAAGGAAACAGCTGCGGACAGGAAATTTTGAATGGGGAACTGGCCGACCAGATAGCATGAAGTGTACACACAGACACTCTTCACCCTGTACTAAGTGCCTCCTTGCAAAGCTGTTTTTGCCATCGTTCAACAACAGAGAATGGGATTTCCTGACAATGCTTGGCCTGCTAAGTGCAGTTTACTCCTACCCTAACTCATGCTTTCCCAGCATCTTGGGCTACAATTCCCAAAATGAGTACAAGATAGTGGGACTCGGGAGCATTACTAGGCCTGTGCCCATGAAGCCTAGCCCTGAATTTATTTCCCAGAGCCTCAAATGTATTTCCCACGACTCCCAGTGCATTTTCCAGAGCCCTTATTTAGAAACACAGAAACAGAGCGAGTCAGAAGGGGTCTCCCGGGCCATCTAGTCTGACCCTGGCTCCAGCCGGCTCCGCTCACGACATGCCCACCATATGCACATCCAGCCTATCTTTGAACACCCGCACCGATGGGGCCTCAGCCACCTCCCGTGGAAGCCCATTCCACACCCTCGGGGGCCTAACCGTCAGGAAGCACTTCCTGGCATCCAACCGGAAGCCTGGTTCCTTGAGCTTTGCCCCACTGGAACGCATCCTGCCCCCCACTGCAGGGGAGAACAGCTCACGGCCCTCCTCCACATGGCACCCTTCGCATACCTGTAAGTCACTAAAAGACCCCTCAGAGTCTCCCTTCTCCAGGCTGAAAAGACCGAGTTCCTTCCATCTCTACCATTCTTGTGATCCTGTTCTGGTCTGATTCTAGCCTAGCCATGTCTCCCCACTGATGTGGAGCCCAGAACTGGATGCAAGACTCCACCTGTGCACACACCAGAGTCGTGTAGGCTGGTATCAACACCTCCCTAGATCTGGAAGCCACGCTTCTGGCTGTTCTCAGCACCCTGAGTGCCAGTAATAGAAACTTTTTGTTCAACTTCGTTGCCGTGCAGGAGGCAATTTCGAAGCGTGATTGCAGCTGCATGGAGAGAAACGGACACCTTGCATGTGCCCCCCCCCGCGCCCCCGCCGATGCCACAGTTCTCTGCCTGCATGGGAATTAAGCTTAGGCAGAAAATGTTCCAGTGGCTTGGGAAGATCTAGGACAGGATGCAAATGAATTTATTTCAGTGGCGGTGTGGATGAGCAACTCATGGCTTCACACGAATCCCCACAGTTCTTGCTGCCTTTGCGCATATTCCCGGGGAGGTGCTGGAATCTCCCACACTGGAGGCCTTCAAGAGGCAGCTGGACAGCTGCCTGAGAGGGATGGTCAGCCTGGAGCCCTGTACTGACCACGGGGTTGGACCCGATGGCCTTCTGGCCCGCTCCAACTCCACCTTTCTGTGATTCTCTATAGCTACAAAGCGACACCTGCAAAATCGAAGCTGATTTGCCTCCTATGAGTCTGGGCTCCAAAACCTTTAAGTGCTTAGAGGTTGTCGTCCAAGACCTCTGAAGCGCAAGGGCAGGAATGCATCCTGTGAGGGGTTCATGAAATGGGTCAGGATGGGAGCAAGAACGGCTGGGGAAACTGCATTGCTGTGGCACCGTGAAGATGGGTGGAAAGGCACCTTTGCTGGACTTTCTGGCACACTGGTGCTCAAGACCGTGCCGTCGTTATTTGTTTTTCGGCGCCAGGCTAAAACCTTTTTATTTAAAACTTATTTTAACTGTTAATTATTTATTAACTAGGTGTTTTTTTTAAGCCGAGAATGCACTGGGGGGGAGTGTTATTTATTGTATTATTTATTGTATAATTTTAGTATTTATGTGTTGTGAGCCACCCCGAGGCTTTGTTGCGATGGGGCGGCATAGAAATGTTTTAAATAAATAAATAAATACGCCAGTGGCAGCTGGAGATGCTCCAAATTCTCCTGTAACACCAACGGGATCCCCTAATTTTCGCAGCACTGTAATTGGCATGCTTTAACTGTTTGCCTGTACAGTAAGTGTGTTTTTGCAAACTGGCCTCAAAATTTGCTGGTAGACCATACAGACATCTTTTCAGTGAATAAAAATGAAAGATGACTTTAAAAGAAACCGTACGATGATAGAACTGTAACGGGTGATGGAAAACAGGAATCTCTGTGCAGCCCTCTTGTTCTCTCGTCCCGAGATTATTTTGTTGCCGTTCCAGCCTCTGACTGGCCTAAGGATCTGCAGCTCTGCCCCCAACCCAAAATGGCTCTCTGGT